AAACAAACGGTGGGTTCGAACCCAGATGACACCGTGTCCTAAAGGTTAGCACATAAATACGCTACCTATTAAGCTGTCACGTGGACAAAACACATGCTATCGTTTCGTCTAGTTGTACTCAATATGATTGCTGCTATAGTTAGTCTATATATTGAGTAGGATCACTTCCGCGCCTACTTAGGAAACATCAACCTGTCCCTATTTATATTGGTAATTGGAAATAAACTGCGGCTTCTTTTTCCTTAGGCAAATTGTTGAAAAGATACTTTAACTTTAAAATCTTCACAAATCAATATATAGCTTTCGGTTTCATTTCAAATAGCGAAGCATTTTATTATTAGGATTAGATTTGCGGAAAACCTTCACTATGTGAAGCCAGCCTCATTTGCGTTTGTTGCATATTTTGGTATGTACCATTTCTCAATATCTTTATAGAACCTTAATTGGTCATTTATGGCGGGCTGCAGCTTGTGTTCTAGCGAAATAATTTTATATGGGGCATCTTTCCAGAACCTTTATCGATAATGGACCGTTCCAGTGGGCCCGCTCATCGTACATTTTGTCATTGACTCAACTAATCTACTTTATGTTCTTCCTAACTCAGCATAAATTATGTTACTTGGTTGATTACTATTCCACAAATCCCTCGATTCGTTTTCAGTGACTCAATAATCCTACCTCTTTTTTGTAATTGTTTCATCAGCCTGTTTGCGAATTTAATTTTCTTGCCATGAGAGCCGTCACAACTGTCCAGTTAGGCTCCCTTGCTTCAGTAAACATATTACTTCATTTTAGTAAGCCAGTAAATACAGTGATTACGTCATTACAAAGCGTCTTTGTTTCATGGGAAACGTTCTCGCGATTCAGATATCCTCAGTTTATCGTTTCAGTTGAACTGTTGCACACGAGCATACTAAGGCTGTTTTCTCCTTATTCGAGTGATTGAAGGTTTGCCTCTTGAATTGGCACTCGATGAGGAACATCGTAGCCATTAGGTCGGCAGGCCGAGGTACGGAAGAGTCGTCAGCCTATAGTTCGAATTAGAAGCTGAATGAAAGCCGATAAACATATCAAGGCACTGCTTGACTTGGTTTCATGACCCAATTGGGTAATATTCTATAGGCGATTGAGGGTCGACCAGGCCGACCGTATGCATAGCACAGGTTGTCTTGCATAATGATGAGCTTACTCCCATCTTAAATGGCTATAGTTTTATTATTAATATGATAATTAGCGTAAGGTTTGTTATAAGGAGAAGAACGGACGAACTCTTGAAGAGATGGCTATATTCCGACTATCTGATAACTATACAACATAATAGGCCAGATAACCTAATTTTTTAATAGTAATTTTCTTTATTTGGACAAACCGTAGTTTTGAAGTGTTGTTCCCTAAGCGGATAATGTTGTTTGGATGGGGAAAGATTCTCGCAGGAACGGACTCTCGGTAAGGCTGCTAATTCCTCTAATCAGGCGGTTATAACACAGAGTTGACACAGTCACACTGACTCTGTCCATAGAATCTCGTCCGTCAACGAAACATTTCTACTGTCGTAAATGTAACTAGAAATGTTTGTATTTTCTATCTAGTCTAATAAGATAGATATCTTGTTTTTTTATATAGTAATTCCACTCAAGCTAGAAGCCAATCTGATAATTCGTTTTCCCAGTCAATTTCGTCCGCAGTGTTTTAAGGCTAAATTAGGCCTAGCTACACCGCTGTTGTGTTTCGCTGGGGTGTTAATGCGTTCCAACTTGATTTACTCAAGTATTTATTCATATGTTCGTTTAAATTTGAGCCGCTCGATATTGGCTAAGTAAAGAGAGGCACCTCCTTTCAACCTACGGCAACCGAAGTAAGCCTAAACACTCATTTAGCAATTAGTTGCCTAAGGTAAAACAGCGATACTAATTAATAGTTCATCTCGTTCACCTGGTCGTGCCTATCGGAGATCTGCACTCGTGTAAGTACACATGGTAATGGCCATAGTGTACTTATACCATTTGGCCTGCGTAGTTATTCACTGGTGCTACCTGCGTACTCGTCAGAAGGCGTGATTTCTGTTGCGTAAAACTCTGCTTGCTATCCACATTTCATACCAGTATGCTGTCTAGGGCGTTTGGTGGAAAATTTGAGTGAGAAGCTGATGGAACCGTAGCGGGCTTTCTCTTTGGACTTTTGATTAGGAGCTCTTTTTATCAGCAGAATCTAATATCTCGTTATAGAACTGTGTTTGAATGTCATCGTTTATCAGAGTATGGTTAGTTAGAAGTTGATCTATCGTAACAGCTACAGCTATGAAAAGTGCTCTAACAATGAATATCATTTATTATTATATAAGGAACTAGGTGATATTAGGGAACGCGGAGACTGCTTGCAGCAAAAAAAGTGAATCATGTTGGCGTTTTTAAGCAGTTTCTGGGCTAAGCGGGATCTGCTAAGCTAAAAAGTTGATTTGCCGGGCCATTCATTATGTACGTGTTTGACATTTCTCGCAGTGCCGGGATAGTGATAAAAATGTCTCGTCCATCAGACTCTCTAAAACTGGCTAGGATAGTCCTCCTAAACTCTACATTTCCGCAGTATTTTAAAAACGACGTTTAACGCAATGAAATAGAAACCAATTTTCGTACACTGATTTTTCGCTTAAAATCAATAAGCAAGATCAAATCTAGTATTATAGTTTGTCAATGCGATTCAATAAACCTAATTGACCACGCCGCCTTAAAGGACCCCAATGACATTTCCTATGACCTTGACGCTGCCCTTGGCAATGTCTAGTCGTTTAGAGGTTGTGTAGCGATGCGTACCCAACCGTTGATCATATACTCAGTCATATCGGGTGTCGATAATAATAATCGCGTTGACGTTAAGGGCATTGATGATAATCTAGTACCATGCCCTGTAACCGATGCGCAGAAATCGTCAAAAATCGACCAAAAATTAGAAAGCGGTTCATCCTATATCCGTCATGGCTATGCCATTATCTGGCCGAAACGGTTATCTCAATGGCTGTCTCATCTAACCCTCTACGACATTAGATATTAAACATCTGAAACTCTTTAAAGAAAAATTTCTATGGTAATTGTTTAGATTATTTAAATGTATTGGTTAGCAGACCTGCCCAATACCGACGGAATGACATTTTTGTATGTTAGGCTAATATCTGTGAATAATATCTATACGCATAACAAGGATCATACTATTGTTTGCCGCTGAGAATAGATATTGCTAGGTTTTATACGCTGGTGTAGCAATAGTAGAAGTTTCATAACCGGCCTAACACTGAACCGACCTTTCACTCATACCACTTATTTATACAAGCGATAGGTTTAGGTAACTGCAAACTACTGTAGATAAACAAAACACACATCTTTATTCAGAATTCTGATTCTACTCTATGCTTGAGTGTTTGCCAATTTACTATAGATAGTAACCTTTTCTTTTATACTAGACCCTATCTATTCTAATCACTAACGTTAATAAAAATATGCTTACTTCCGAATACTTTCGCGCAGGCAAATTTTTTTAAAAACAGATATTCACTGTTTCTTTGTTCTCACTGAAACACTTGGTCAAAACAACTAAACAATGTATGGTACAGGCTGTTTTTGTTCGGGTGTTACAAACGATCACTAGGTGGACAATTACACAAAGCATTTATGTCCTCATTGTTTGTTTTCGTAATAACATATCTAAATAATGGCCAACGTTATGCTCGGACTCCCTTCTGGTAAAAAATAAACATCGAGGAAAGTAATTGCATAACTAATATGTAAGGCGTACAAAGTGTCTTGCAAAATGTCCTGCTTTGAACTGTTTCTAACCGACTACAAACAAAATATATCATCGAAAACTATGTATGCTCAAAAGCCCTCTTCAAACGTTTATTTTTTTAGGTTACTTGCTATATAACCCCCTTATTTGTGCCTGGGTGTGTCTGAAATCGGAGTTATACCAGCAGAGGCCAAACGAGCAACTGCAAAGCATTTACTGTTGCCACTAGCTAGGCAATGTCATTATTATACAGCCGCTGGGGCCACTAAATAAGCAGAGCTTTCGTTCTATCTTTGTTAGACCACATTATCCTAGCTACCCAATAAAAACGATACCCTTCATTGCTTCCCTCGTTTACTCAATGTCGTTCGTTCCGTCTTATTAAGGCGATGCAACTGATCTGGTCTTGTCAGTCGACACCTTCTTTTCCGTTCGAAGTCCTAATTTCCCAGATTAGTTGGGCTTCTGCGAGCACTTAGAACTCGGCTCGAATTAACAAGTAAGCCTGTGCTATTCTCGTTGTAGTATTTCTGTCCCGTCAAATAATTACCATAGACATTTGCGTTAGTAGAGAGAATAAAAAGATTGTCTTAGAACTTCGCAGAACCTTACAATAAGCAGCCGTACCTGCAGGGGACTCTACGACAGAAAAGGGAATACAATAGCTTACCAAAGCAATATGGCTCCGGACGTCAATATCAGAGGAACTAAGCTTCCTGCCCTTCTAGTTCTTTCTAGGTTTCTAGGTGGTTTAGTCGATTGTAGATCTGTTGTTGTCGGTCGCTATACAGTCTTGTTGCTTAGCTCGTATCTCTGATTATGCACGAGATATCGGGCAGCAACGATCATTGCCAGGGACACATTCGAATTTACTCAGTATCTCTGATCAGATAAGTAAATGAAGGCCTCAAGCGACTAACAGAAACATCGTTCTGTCTGAATCAGTGCTACCCAGCGGGCTAGGTCAACTCGGAGCCATTTTAAGTCAAAAATGCATTGGCTAAATTCGGACTCGAGGGGGTGATATACTTGCTTCGGTAATTTGGAACTAGATCTCCTTTGAAGGAACATTTATGTGTTTATAGTGTATGCAGACTTAGAACGATTGTTAGGGTGCCCGAACTAACTCGTCTGAAACGTTATTCGTGGTCCGGCTTGATGTCTCAAGGACGTCTGGCTAATAATGACGATGACAATAAACAGAAGAAGCGATTTGCTCTAGGCGTGCTTCCGGAAGCAGCATCAACAGTACCTGGTAAAATTCTTGTCGAGAGTCGATTTTATCACCTTATTTATGCCCTTGGCCAATTACCTGTTTTACTATATAGGCATATAATGTTAAAACCGTAGCTGCGGAAGATACTGATTTTCTGATTCGTCGTTTGTGTAACTCTTCTCCATGGGTTCCTCCTTACCAAAACACCCTTTCCCCTGAAGATCCCTCTCCCAAGCCGCATATTACCGCATCTAGTTCACGTCCACCCAGATGAAGCAGATCTGGTCCGCAACCCCACGCGCGTACCTCGGTCGGCTGCTCATAGCGTAACGGACAAAAGACCGCATTTAGACGCCAGATTGATTGTGAACAAGCGCTGCTTTCATCCAACTGTGATATTGAATTAATTACGATAACTGCATAATATAAAACTTTTAAAGTGTTGTGGTCACTTCAACAAGAAAGAAGTAGCGGGTATAACTTATAAAGGCTAATCGTGAGTAGCAATCAAGTGCTATGGATTAACAACCCGAAAAATAATAAGGATAAGGGAAGAGGGCAGCAAAACGACAAAGCTATAAACCACAAGTGAGTGAGTGTTTAATATTAAATTTGTTACAATCAGATAAGTCTTTCTTTCCTAGAGATGTGTCGGAGCAAAGAAATGCTCATGCCTGACAATGCTCATGGTAGTTTGCACTTAAGCAGAGTATTCTGATCCCTTGTCTCTTACGATATCGTATGCTTGACGCCTGTTATCCTTCAAATAGGCTAATTTCTAGAAGTGATGCACCTTATCACTGGTACAAATAAACTTACAATCATTGGCATCTATTCCAGCGACGATTGTTAGCCTTGCAAAAGGTCATCAAAACATTATCTGGATTAATTATTGTATTCAACAATAGGAACTGTTTTTTAACGGAGTGATAGTCTTAGCGAGCAAGTTCCATCCAAATTGCAGTAATTAATGTACACACCACTTTCCCAGTGCGTAGCTTTGCTACTATGCTTTTTTATCTTGCTATTTCCAACTCGATTCTTAAGAATTTAGACGGTCCAGATTCTGTTTTTGTTATTAGTTGGGAGACCTTCACCGCACTCAGTCCACTCCACTAGTCATCATCTGTTTGTCCATCTCGATCGAATGAATGTGGCAAATTCAAGAGACTTTTTCGGTAATTATCGATGAAAATGACGGTTATTTGTCTTTTCGGTCAAACCAGTAGTCCTGCTGGTGAGACAGGCAGATTCCCCAACGAAAAAAATTAAGAGAACTCCTAGACTTGGGTGACTTTCCGACGAGGGAAAACGCTTCCGCAGATCGTGTTATTCTGCGCTGCAGATGATACCACAGTGTTATTACTTGCTTAAGCTATATTGGAAAATTACGTACATGTATCATTTGAAGTAGATGTCGTTTTGAATAACCGCGTTGTTAGGAGGAAACGACGTAACATCAAGCCGGCAATCAAAATATTGGTCCAGTGTGTGTACTACCTTTGTTTAGGATGTAAAAATGTGTTTTAAAATTACTAACAAAACACTGTCTAATCTCACATTTTTTCAGTCCCTAGTGAATTTTCTCATGACTCAGTGCTCAGGTTCTTTTAGTTATCACCATTTAAATAGAAACAAAATTGGCTTTTTTTTTTTTTAATTTGAATGTCCTTGTTTCCACAGCCGGATATGTCCATATATATATTTTTGCTTCATAATCACGAGACAGTCCGTAAGCCACATATTGATTTACTGAACTACCGAGCCCTCAACATCGGCTAGCGGGTCACGTTCATCCATGTCCTCCTCGACTGATAATACCTTCGCAAATAACCATAAAGCCCAAGTAAGTTCTTCTAATCGCTGATCATTGATTCTTCTTTGTCCGCAAGTTTTCCTCTCGTTTTTCGCAGGATCAGCTGAGCAGTCGCTTCGTGTCTGGCGCGACGTTGGCATGACTTAGCAAGACCATCGCTTCACCGAATAGAATCATTTCAATGTGACGAAAGAAAAAAAAACACCGTACGTGAGACGAATGATAGCCATATGATGCAGTTGCGGCTGCTTCCTCTATTGTATTCTAACGACCAGCCGCGGCGCCAGTTTAGCGACCAGGGGAGAATCGGCGCGGGGTTCTAGAATAAACTAGAAGAAACTAACATGAGTGCTAGTTCCACGTGATTCCGGATAAAGAAAGCTCAAGTAGCTTCATTGGAAGACTTTCGGATTCACATTTAAAGGTCGTCCTGATTGCTCCGACTTCTGAATTGGACTGAGCGCAGGCGGCATTTATGTAAAACCTTGCTTTTATGGGAAAGTGCAAAGCTATTATATCCTAAAGCCTAGCGAGGAAAATTGATGCCTTAATGAGAGACTTCAGACCCAATATAAAAATGCACGCATCCACAAGGACACTAAATAATAACGTACGGAAAAATGTTGCAGGAGACAATACTCATACAGTGATGCAGCAACAGTTCCCTTTGATAAGGACAATGGCGAAGGGTCGCTTTGTTAGAAGGCAATGCCGCTATCAGACTGCGTTAAGCCTTTAGAACGTATTGGCATCGTTTGTGCTCTATATACATTGACTGCGGTGACGTTTCAATAAGAAGGGTTATATGCATTATTGAGATGAACTATGTTGATCCATATATAGTCTAACAGCATCGTATTGATGAGCAGTCCCTAATATATTTCACTGGCACACACAAAAGTCATTTGCTAACTTCAGTTTTCCTTCCCTTTTCAACTCGTCGTTCTACAATGGAACGAGCAATTCTAGTGGCATAACTGCTCTTCCTGTTCTAATGAGCCAACGGTAAATAACAAATAGGCCTCTATTTCTGGGCCTGCACCGACTTCGTCGAAAATCTCTTTTTACTACTGAAATTGTAAATCCCACAATGCTGTATACCATTATGCAATGTCGGCTACGCCACGATACTGCGTTTTACTTAGACCAATCTGTAATCGAATATGACACACTTAATAACAGTCAAGAAAAGTTTGAATAGGGAAACGACACACAAAAACAGAGACCACCAGAGATTTACTAATCTAATAATACTTTTCATCAGCTCATCGTATTTGAGCAGCGTCCTCCTATCTAGAGGATCTATCTGCTGTGTTCACTTAGAACTGTGACGAGTCTTGAGTTCAGCTTACCAAATATGTGACAGGTGTGACGTTATTACGACCACACAGAGGTCGTTCCATTCAATCTATAAGACATGCCAAAGGCATAATTTATATCATACAAAATGGCCTGTCTGACCAACTACGGAAGTTGCTAATTTTTCATGAACACTTGCTGGAAAGTTTACATTATCATTAGCACGTAATCGATCCATCAAACGGCAATAGATTTCACGATCCAGCTGTTCTGTATAAACGAAATTTTATCGTGGAATATTCTGATACAACGAATTATTGTTAAAAAAAGTCAAAAAGAATCGGCCATCGACCCTCATTACGAGCTGTACGTCAGCGAAGATATATCGATGGCTTCGATGCCGCTTTTTTTTATCCATATCGGTCTGTCATATATGACAGGTATTGTATCTATATACACAAATAGCTCATTTACTTCTACCTGTGCTCGAGTCGGCCATATTGACTTAGCAGTCTATCAGGAATAGAATCAACAAATAGGCTTAGGCATTTGCTCTCGATTTATCTGTCGGTTTTCTTCTGACGCCACATGGTCCTGTATAGATCGAAAATAAACTTTATTTTCCGATCACCATCACTAATAAATTTATCGACGATACAATCGATATCATCGATATACATATCGACGATCAAATAAATAATGCAACTCCAAAGGGGTTCTAAAGAGAGAGTTACCACCCTCGATAAACGTCTTCAGCCAGCCGTTGCTTCGTTTCTACATTGAAACGAAACGCTTGCATTCTCATTGCCTGCCAGTCGGATTATTTCCTTAGGGCAATGGCCACCTGCCTGCTCTTTTACTGTAGGTAGTCCGATCTTGACCAACCCGCCCCGTTTATTTTGTTCTACCTTCAGAGTTGCTGACTTTGATTGTGATGCAGAGCGCAGGTGTTACTATATAACGAGGACAAGCAGCATCTCGTATTGTTGGGTCATGTGCGGAACACGTTTCGGGGCCTTGAAACGAAAGTAGCGCCAAAGGGAAAGCAGCAGAAGAAAATAGAAGGAGACAGAAAAGCGGGCCAACAGCCCCCGACGATGAAATATTTCAATGGAATTGACCTCGGCATGATGGGCAATGGCGTCGGGAGCTGTTGGCATGTCGAACATTAAGGTGCGGCAGAGGTAGTTTTGTCGGATGAGGGCCTAACTGTGCTGATCAGGTAACGTGCCTAACGGTGGCCGGTGATCCTATCCACAGCAAGCGAGGAAGAAACAAGGGGACCAGTGAAAGGCTACCAAGGAAAGGACCTATTTGGTCAGTCTTAAAGGGGATCGCCGAAGGCCGAATCAAACTTCGATTGCACCCCTGGGCATGCTTGAGAATAGATAAGGGCCAGCGTAGCTAAACTGTATCGATACTGCTAATATTATAGAAGAATACGTAAAAGTGGACAAGGTCGTGACTGTAATAGTAGTTACGTTTGCCATCTTGAATCGTCATACGTTGGCCCAGTGGATTGAAAATTATCGCCTGCAAACCACGTTTGCAGTAGCCACCAGTAGAAATGTCCACAAGTGTCGCTAAACCGAAGGGAAAATTGACGTAAACATATGCTTGTTACGGAAACTATGAAAGTGGCACATATTAGTAAGACAGAGCCTGTTGTGTTAATACTGAACGCCAAATAGGAAATTGGGCCTTAAAACGTGCCGTCTGCTGGCAGCCTCATTATCCTCTTTGGCTCTTACTTTTGATGGCTTTTCCTGATTTTCCTTCGTTGTGCCTTAGTCATTGTACAAAGACGCGCGTCGTTGTGTGTCTACAGACGGACATGCGTAGACCAGCACGTATTTCTAGACTTAGCGTGTAAACACGTTACAAGGGGATACGCTTTTCGACACACTCGGACACGTCTAAGTGTCGGTTGAAAAAAAGATTTGAGGCAAATGAGGGATGTTCGAAGCCCACAGATAGCCCTAAATATTTGAAAGTTACGTAGCTTAGAAAGAACATGATAGTGTTGAAACGTTAATATACTTTAAGCATAGAAACTAGAGAACTCGTTTCTGATTAGTTTTCTTATTGTCAGTTCCTAAGCTTTTGTGCAAAATATCCAATGAAATAGTTAGCCTAAAACACAGTTTCAGCGGATCTGTGTGAAAATTAAGCTTGTCAAATTTGTCAACAAGCTGAATCAAGCTTGTTGTTTGGGTGGGGCTTACATAAATGGATACAAGCAACCGAGGATTAGCGTTAATAGGTCACTTGAAGCGGAAAAAAGGACGCTACCATGGTGTTGGAGTTATTGGTAGCTTTGCTGTAAGCAGTTAACTGCGACTAGGAATCACCAGGGGATTCGGGAAATGGACAAGATTAGTATCGAACACAAATTGAAACCTAGTATCTAGGAAGCGACTCAGAGCTAAAGATTTTAATAGCGAAAAAGCGTTTATGCCCGGAATGATAAAAAAAAAAGTTGGTCAGATCAATACCGCCGTACAATACCGACAGACATATACTAAGATGAATACTTTTAAAGCTGTTCGGGTGGAAGAAAATTCTCAGTTAGGAAAAACCGTCATCTGAACATGCTGCCACTGAGAATAAAGAGAGAATTGTATAAACTATACCACAAAAAATGTTTTCCCTAATCTTGTCTTGTCATGTATTGGAATGACCGGACACTACCCAAAGTAATAACGAGGTGGGCTTTTATAGTGGTCCATGCTGTCTGACGTAAGAGAGCAAAAGGACACTTATTATGGCCGCCGTCTACCTATAAAGTGTAACCACCTCAGACTGTGATATCACTTTGATTGAAGTGCACCTTCTGTAAACGCTTGAATAAAACCTCATTCGCTTTCATTTAATACAATCCAGTTCCTAGGACACACTGAAAACAGGTCAAATTCTTAAAGAGCTCATTAGCAGGACTATTCGAAAAACGACGAAGTCGTAGAGATGTCATAGGTGAATGTACTGGATCGGTCATTATGTGGGTCTGGGCACAATTTTTGTTGCATTTAGTTTTGTATAGCCCACCCGACATCCAATATGACTCGATCTCTCTAGCGTCGTTGCTATTTCGCACTGGGACACCATCATCATTTTCGGAGCCGCAGCAACGCAACAGCTCGCGAACGTTAAGTTGCTATGAAATAGAAAAATGATTGCATCTGTCCTGCAACACCTTTTTTCCGCCTGTGTTGCTTATGGGCCTTCATTCTCGCTGTTCTACTCTAGTTCGGAGGGCTTGCACCGATTTCGCCTGCCCTTGATGGAGCAGTAGCGTTCTAAGGAAGACGTGGTCGGAGCTTTTCTGCTCTCAGAGAGCCGTCGCTATTGCTGGCACTGGCATCGTCATCGCGGTTTCTCTAGTCGTGAAAGAGGCAGCAAACGCTGGTTTTACGAAATGGTGTTTTGTTTCAATTGTTCGGCCCATGTCGGAATTCTATAGAGGAGAAGGGGCAATGTGTAGAGAAAATGCGAGAAGACTGTTGTTTGTCAAAAGAGCCTATTGCGTTTCTACCTTGAAATGCCTTCCGTCTCAAGTCAAATTAGGCCTTGTAGTGAATTTATATAGTGAATTTACAACACACATTAAGTTACGACGCCGATTTTTCTCGCTACCCGCTCGAAAAACGGCTAATGGAATGCTCGGCGATAGCACATAATACTGCAGACTTATGTCTTCATGCAAAATATTGGACTGTGCACGATTTTCGAGGCTAATTGAAATATTCAACCGGAACAGGTGGGGTGAAAAGAGAGGAGCTTTCCACAAAACAAAGTGTCACTGCTATAGCAGCTGAGATGTATTGGTAAAATGTTTAAATATGACACTAAATCTAAGTTTTATGTACGATTGCTAAGGTGTGAGGTCTGGTACGTCTGGTGTATTCAAAAGCTGACATATATTTTTGGTGCGTGAGGTTCTTCCTAACCCGGTATACAGATATAAACTTTCGTAGCTTATCTGAATCTTGTATCTCAAAAACAACGCTATTCATAACTGAACGTTCCTAGAAATCTAACAATGAGTGCCTTCAGTTCAGCATATATTTAGTATAACTCAATAAAGATTGCATATTGGATAATAAATAGGAGGGAAGAAAAAGGCATTTTCAAAGACTTTTCCTCATGCATGACTCGCTAACTTTTTTTTGGGTGCACTCGTTAGCGTCCTTTAGTGAAATGGGAATTTGCTCAGTACAAATAAGTCTCTGTTTAATCTAACTATTTTATTAGCTAACCAACGTTGATGTAAGTGAAAGCTACAACTAATATATAAGTATATATAGTTTATGATTCTGCTGTAGACTTTCGTTTGAAACGGATCACGTAATTAATTGAAAACTAGAAGGTCAAAAGTCAGTTAAGAGGCTTCAAAACCGTTCAAGTCCTAAAAAATTCCTCAAAAATCTTCTATCAAAATACATAGATTAAAAATAGCCTGTATTTTGTGGCCCACTGGGTTATGGATACATGAATAAAGGCTTGTGAAACCGCAGATGAGCCAGTACAGCGATCTGTGAATCGTGCTGCTGTCCCATCTGTAGCGATAGACAGGTATCGAGTGAAATTGACCAGTGACATGACCACAGACCTCCTGAAGCCCCTTCCGTGACGGCACTTGTTAATGAAAAAAAGTCCGCAGCAAAAAAACAAGTTGTACGTTCAACTTAAATTCTGTATAATTCGACTCAGTTTCAAATCTACCGTACGCAATCCTTGCAGCAGGCAATGGCAATACTTAAGTTAGTTTTCCAAGGGCAAGACTACCAGAAATAACGCTATTCTGGCACAAAACCAGATGCAATTACTTTGAATTCATCGAAAACAGCAATCTATATTCTACCCACGTTCTCAGTAGATATTGTCTGAGTCGATAGCCACTTACAAGGTAGTTTCCGCTTTTGTACCATGCTATTATACTTGGTATTACCTTCGGCTTGTGAAATGTAAATTTTTTAACATTCGCCATTAACTGATACGAAATATATTCTTCACGAACTGATACCTTAGCCTTTATTTAAGGCCACATAGAAAGCAGGTGAACGTAGATTCGTACGTTGTCTTAATGGAACGCTCCTTTCTTATGCTTCGACGTATAAGCACGATCTCAGCTCGCCTTCATGTTGGATTGTATCCGAAGTAGAACCGAGAAGAGTGGCCGGAAGAAAGCAACTAGACAGAAAATGACACACGTCTACGTATGTGTATTTATACAGTGAGCTTCGACATTCGCAAGGACATTACACTAATGTTAGCTAATCTAGTTTGAAACGGGGAGATAGGGCGCCGGCCATCTGCGTTATGCTTCCGAATCAATACAAATGAACAAAGGAGAACTAGATCCATATGAGCGAGTTTGCTGAGGGTAACCTTTAACTATCCTACTACTATTACGTGGTCCTATTCATGTTTCTCGCCTGCTGCTGAAAGGACACTGGTAGAGTGCTAAGAACTGTTATAGGCTATTCGTGAAAGATCGAGATGCAACGCGGGACGGGCATTCAAAGATAAGAAAGGGGTTAGGACCAGTAGAAGAATCGATAAAACTCGTTACTGAAATTAGCTCGTTTCACGTCCTTTAAACTTCTTTACTAGAAAATGCCGAGTAGACAGCACGCGCCAGAGCACAGTCGAAGGCCTTTTATGAACGTTGATGCTCTTGATAAAACTACGACTTGAATCGTTGACCATAAGGCTGAACCGCAACGAAAACCATATTACGTTCTTTTGAATTTATTTACATATTACATATTTAAGAATGAAACCCTTACGTTTATTTAGACAACGTAAAATCTACTCTTATTATATGTTGCCGCTGCGTTTTTTTGCGATCTAGCTCGCAGTTGAAACCTTTTATCCTGTACGATTCGCATCAACCATCAAATTTTCTTTTATTATGTGTACATCAATTTATTCGTCAAACAGCCTTTCAAACACTTTCCGGATACTCGATACTTTTATGCGTGTCAGACTCTAGATAGTCCTTCCTCTATATAACTTTAGACCCGTACAAAGGAGTATTCGTATGCCTCTAATGTTTATTTGTTACATGACACTAAAACGTTAATTTTCTTCCTATATATTGTCCATAGATGCTGAACAAATCATTATTCATACCGGCTTTCTAGCGTACGTAAAACAGTCTTAGAAAGCCAGCCACGGGCCGACGCATCAGTAGGTGTTTCGAAGTGACTGTACAACTTGTGCACTTTTCTGAGAAATCGCAACAATGAAGGCCAACGGAGAAAACGGGTAGGTTTGAAGCATACGCCTATTAATTACACTAACATAGTTATCTATTGAAGCTCACCCGAGATCGTGCACTGCATGCATGTATATATATATATATATATATATATAAGCAGTTCAGAGGCGTACTCTGATGTGCAACGCCTTTGCGAACCTGCAATCAATCTCTTAGAACATAAATAATAGAAATACTGTTAAGTATGAGTGTTAGAGTTTCACTGATCGAGCTCAATTTGTTTTATGTTTTTGGATTTATGTTAAACCCAATGTAAGTACCACGCAAATGGTGGTAATAAAATTTACAATTGTTAAAGCGTGGATATACCTACTTGTTACTTCTTGGTAAATGAAGGCCGTACTATTTAGACCAGTAGCCTACATGTTGATAAAAAAAATCCGCAAACATTTTTTAACTTCTGATGTGATATAATTGCAAATATCAGCATTTTGTGGCACCGCCTCTGGCACCGATAACTGCCGCCATTTTTTGGGGCGTGCTTCTAGTGCAGTTGTTCGCTGTCTCAGCCATGAGCAAATTCTATTGCCATACCTCGGCGATTTTTCACAGAGGCTTAGAACATTTATTACTTTCCCGAACCCGTAATTTTACGATTTCTTAGGCATTTTTTTTTTTTAAATGAAACTAAGGTCTGTCGAATTTGAAGACTATGACAGGACCTGAGCGTCGTGGACAGTGAGTACCCAAGCTCTGTGACAAAACGCCCCATCGTGCTTGAAGCCGTAGTTACCCTCAGTGAACCATTCCCATACCTGAGATGCATCTTGCTTCCTCAGATCCTTTTGTTTCGGTTCCTTGCTGGAACCTCAACATATGCGAAACGTATTATCTCAGTACCTTTGCCAGAAGTCACGGACCGGGTCATAAATCTTGATGGATGTTTGATTTTCGGCGCAAGTCAATTATCAGGAATTCGTTCGTCAATATATTTGAAGTCATGATAGACATTTTTTCCGACAATTTCGAAATAAAGTTCGTTAGAGAAGTAGACTTTTTTAGTCGCAGCTTTCAGTGATTTGAAGTAGCAACGTTCAAGTTTTGACCGGCCTCGCCCAAAGAAGACGGGCTCGTTTCTTACGAGCCTTCAAGCAGAGTTTCTTGATAAGCTGATCGCTTTCGAGCCTAACCTTTTTTGAATTGCTAGCGAAGCGAAATCTTTGACACAGCGGGTCCACGGTCTTTCAGTCTGCTCTGGAAACGTCGTACGTGGCAAAGGTATCTCCTTGGACTTTGTAGATAATTACACGTCCTTTTTGTCTCGTAGTACACCTTTCTAGATTCCCGTTGTTAGTGATGTTACGCAGTAACGGCGGCAGTATTTTTTCCTTTCCCTAGCAATGTTGACGAGTGCATAAGACGTTTCGGCAGACTCACATTTGTGCTGTGCCGACCAGTGTCTTCTGCTCTTCAGTAACATCTATTCTTCTATCAATTTCGACATTTTACGTATGAAAACGTGCAAAATCACCAGGAAGCGCTTCACCACCACCATACATGTGCATAGTATAAAGTATTAGAATTAACCGTGACTATTTGAAATTCGGTTGCAGAAATCTATTGCGTTTGTGATTATTTAAATACAGATCATTTGTCAGCAGTTTGAGGACGATTCGTTCATCGACACATATACGATACCAGTGTAAAGTAACACAGTTTTATTTTATCTAGTTTCATTAGTTTTATTATTCTAATAGCTGTTTAAAAAAGTCCCGCTATAGTGTGTTGCAATTGGCTAATACATATATATTTATATTATATATATATGGCTGCTTACCATAAGCCTGTTGACGTTTTTAAAAATTGGTAAGAATTTGGATATGCTTATTATTATTATTATCGCTTATTGCTCGAGGCTAGGATTCAGGTCGAATCCAAGGCCGAATTTAAATATGCGCGGGTAAATACGCTTTTGAACGATATCAAAATAATCCTAATTAATCATTGTCAAAAAGCGATTTTTTAACTAATTTGAATACATTTTGCTACAGTTTGAACATTGGCATATTTTTTCAATAGCTGCTCACCCGCTAATTAGCTGGCACTGCTCAAACTTAACTTTGTCCTACAATGCGGCTCGTAATGTACCACTGTATAATCGTATATGACGTCACACGGCCGTTGAGGAATCACCTTTTCTAGTACCAAACTGGATATATAGAGCCACCGTCTCGACCAAATTATGGATTTTCGATCCTCAATTTTTCGACAGATACGATCAGTGTCGCTTGTCATTTTGCAATGGACGACGTTAGTCAGCAGAAAGGTCGAGTACTTACGTGACGCAGCCTTAAGCTTTATGAGCTTTTCTCACTAGCTAGGCCTTTGTTTTCATTCAGTTGTAACAATGCAGGCTGTCTAGGGTATTAGTATATTACTCATAATCTACCTCTGATACGTTTCAAATAGTTGTAAGTGTAAGTCTTATTAGGTGAAGCGAGCTTGTGGCTAATCCGCCGATGGGTATATGCTTCATATAGGTGTATATGTTGAAAGTTTTTTATCGCAGGTAAATGATGAAGTGGAGTTACGTATAAATAAACACCATAATTATACAAGTAACAGATACTGAAACAGGAACCAAACAAAAAAACATTGAGAAGGTACCATATTTTAAATAGATCATGCGTATGTCTTTTTGTGCTGAAAATAACAAAAGTGACTTTTCCGTGCCCGGTTCAAACTGTCGCACACCAGGTATACAGCCTAATTTCAGAAAGAAAAAGGTCGAAATAAAGTGTGCATTAGGGCTCGCTAACTTTTTATCTTCCACGAAAGTTTTAATAATAAAAGATAGGGCATAAATAATGGTGTCTCGTTTCATATTGCCGTTCCACGGGAATAGTTTACCAGTAAGGGACATTTGATTCAAAATGGCCTTGTGTAAATCCACGACTTGACGGAAAGAGGCAGCGCCATCGAAAAAAGTGATAGGCTATCTATCCGTAAGTGTTTACAAAGCGTGTCCATCGACCCGTATAATTTATTGCGGTTTAAAGTTATCTACGGACGGATAAAGGCGATTGATTTACTAGCAACGACAAGTACTATTGGAATTTCCACTACGGAATCGAATATGTTATGCGCTACGGATAACCAGGGACGTCTTATTGTGATCCGAATGTATAGATTGTTTTGCGGACTATTTTGAACTAATCTCATCTGAGTTGCCATTAAAATTTCGCTTCTAATCGCATTGATCCTAAACAGACTTAAAGCCTATATTTACTTGAAACTCTCTACTTAGTATTGCAGGCTACCACCACTGAAACACTCTTCCAATAGTATAGATATCTAGATATTATGTAAAACGTGTACTCGGTTTTTTCACATGAATGAGACGCGAGAAAAAGCCCTTACTCTGGACGATTTATAAACGAAGTCCACGTCTCTGGAAGATGTATCAATTTGAATTTCTGAAATTGAAATCGCTTCTAATTTTTTTTTTCACTTGTAACCTTCTTTTTACTTAACTCGCACTGCCATTTTCCGCTCCTTTCGGTATCTTTAAGGCTTCTCTCGCCTTTCTCGATTTCTTCTACCCGCTAAAATAGCTGCGTTAATAGCGGGTTGACTACAGAGGTTAGCTGTGCCGCAATAGATTGTCTGATATCATAACCGCCAACTGGATAGTTACGAAGCCGGAACAGGTGCGCCACGTGGTGGGTGTATAACTAGCAACGCAATAACCTTGTATACGTATATGAATTAGCCAACTAATGACAAAATATATTATTATTAGAGTGGAATGAGGCTTTATAATCGTGTTGATGACTGATGGCTGCTTTGTCTCTTCTCTCTAGAAAGACGGGTCCACATACAGTGTACCGTTCGACTTGCGCAATAATAGCAGGCGTTGTAATGGTTGAGGATGCAAGACGACTATAGAAAATAGAAGCTGAGTTAACTGTCAGAGGAGAAATGCAGCCCGGTTCCACGTGACGCCTCGCCATGCTCAGATCATTTAAGGAGACAAGATACTTTTAGTGGATAGGTTTTTTAGTAGTGATTCTATTAGTAACAGTTAGGAGTTCAACAAGTTCAAATCAATATAAATATTCTACTTTACTGAGATGAAAGGTGATTTGTACCGTCGTTTCCTGTGCTAATTCTTCCGTGGTCTTGCTGAAAGCACGCCTAGGGGCTAATCGGCTGCCATAATATATAAAATAATGAAATCTAATCACTTCTATATACATATATGATGAATACACAGCGATAATAACTAATTTTAAACCTCACTTGTGAGGAAGATAGATAGCTCACTAGAAGAGCCTCTTATAGACAAGTTCTTCATGAAATGATTCTTTTTTTGATTTTGTCAAACAGTGACGCCTCGACATCTTCTGCAGAGCAGCAACTTGCTGATGAGCTCGCCGATATTGATTTAAACGACTCTGAATTAGCCCAAGCCGCATCAAAGATTCAAAAACAGTTTCGCGGACTCAAAAAAGGAGGCGCCTTGGCAAAAAAGGTACGCATCGAAATGCAGCTATATCTAATCTGCGTAGGTCAAGGCCAAAAATATTTTTGACAATTTGAGAGAGGTTCTTCCTTATCAAACAACCATTGTTTCAATCTTGAAAGGAGTAAACACAAATTTATCGGGCTAGTGTCATCGAAACGTGGGCTATTGATGCTATCATCGGACCGACCCGTCAAGTCCATACATTTTTCAGAAGTATTAAATGTAACAAAATTTACACCTCAGGTTGCGTTTCGACGGTCTGACTCCCATTAAAAGGGGACAGACTCTCGAAAGACACATACATCGCGAAGATAAAATGGAAGACTGACAAAGCTCGACACCAGGCCATTCATGGCCGAAAGAGTTAGCTTGGCATAACAATAACAGGTGACCACTGCAATAAAATAAAAAGTTGCAATACCGTCAAAGATTCAACGTTAAGCCTAATACACGATATATGAGAAGCAACTAAGCAAGAGGAAACCATCACCATACTGATAATAAAACTGATTTATCACATCAGCCCATAAGTTTAATTGTCACTAATATCATTATAGTAATTAATTAGACAGGATTTGCCATCATACTGTATGAGTATGATGACCTAGTAGATAAACACTATTTGCTAAAAAAAAAAATGTATTTAATTTCTTTTTTGCGCACACGTCAGGAATAATTTTATTGTTAGTTTACTATTTACAACAAGTAATTGGGTGCTATCTAATCATCCACTCCCTGGACCTTACGCATGTCATCGACCATCGGTCTACGTAGGCTGAATACCAATGACATGTGTATTAGGCCAATTAGGTGATGCATCGATGACGTCGATTGCCTTTTTTTTTTTTACATTTTCTTACGTTTGTTATGCCTCACAACAATGAAACACAAACTGAGTTATAAATATAATAGACATATATTGTCGATAATGGATCGTCGAATACTTGAGAACATTTATTTAAGTATCTCTATTTATAAGGAGACGATTGGCTGTCTACGCTCACAACTCAAGTACGAATCAATTTTTCCTCGATTTGGTGGTTTACTATGCAAGAAATCAAGTGAGAATTATATGCTGTACACGAGTAATCATAAGAGGATTTCGTGATTATTGAAAAAGATATTGTCTGCATCTTTCGTTGTCGCCTACATAGGTTTCTGCCTCTAGGTATCATACGGATTGGGGGCCTCATAGGGTGAAGAGATCTAGAGCTTCGTTCCGTTCTAGCCAATACTGCTAAGCCACCCGTCAAATCCGATCGACCCATCATATATATCTGTGTTAACAGTAAAGTGTTGGCGGATTCGATTACGGTAGCCTGCTATAGTTCTTTTAAATGTAAGAACCATTAGGAACAGGATTTATTTAAAATTGTTATTGATTAATTAAGTGAACTTAACTTTCATTCAAACACTGAGATATGGCTACGATTCTTTAAAGCCATTTCACCGTTAAGCGTAGTGATAGGTTATAAATGAATTTGGAGAGCACAAGAACGAGCACAAAACAATCGATAGCGTTGTTATAAGTTTCTACAAGTTATTTAATCGCAAAAGACTATGGTAATCCATTACAGGAGAGTGATACGCCGTCTGCGCCCGTTGAGCCGAGCCCACCCCCAGAAGTAGAGAAAACTGAAACGGATGTAAGTTGTTGGACTTCGACTAATAATATTAAGATTAGTTTTCCCGAGAGTCATTTTGGGCTATACGATAAACGTTTTAGTATTCAAACGAACATGTAAACGTAAGTCAAACGGATTCGACTAGGTAGATGTTTTCCAGCTTCTTACAGATTTGTTAGTTTATAGGCATAAAACAAAAAGATCAACTTTTTTTTTTTATTCCATATACTAAAAACTTCCTGCTCAAACAATACCAGCGAGATTTCATTAGCCGAACCGTTACCTTGTTGTTGCCATGGGCAGCCAGATATCCTGCAGGGCTGTTAGCACCTTCATTTTTAGGGGATTGTGACTGCTATAGACAGAAGAACTCGTGGTGACATTTTACGATGCCTCAGCTTAGCTCACTCGTCAACAAAGACAACAAGTTCATGCGGTGTTTCCTGTTATGGGTGGAGCCTACTGGGGTTAGCCTTTAACTCAGACCGAGCATAGGTAGAAAGCCTGACACAGACGCTTAGTTACACTGCAAGAGGCTCCAGCGGGCAGAAAGTTACCTGATTTAATCTGCATTAATAAAACCTCCTCTACAAGCTTCGTCGAGGTCACTATCGGTAAGCACTCTCTGTGGCTGTGGCCGGCCTTTTGCTGAAGGTCACTTTCGTTACACCAACTAATAGGTCGGCAGAAATTGGCGACAGTCCATCTACCCAAACTGGGTGAATAGAATTGAAGCCAGCGGTAGAAGGAGAATTGAATTTTTATCTAGGCCATCAGCTCTGACGACCTTCAACTATGAAATCCTAACGAGAATATTATCCGAAAGAAAATATATATATTTTTTAAGTGAACAATGATAAGAATAAAGCCGTGCGGAGAGTTGCTAATCAAATGGACATGGGGAAAACCGACCGGGCATGGCATAATAAAGGTTGAAGGCGCTCGTATTTTCGAGGTCACTGTGCTTAATGAACCGGTGTCGGCTAGAGGAAATGTAACAACTTTTGCGCTTGCTCTAAATTTCGTTGACAGAATTGTGTATTTGCCTACTTTTAGATGAAAACAAATATTTGCTATTACATGTGGTTCCTTATTTTTCCGATAATTCTTCTCTGAGATATTATCAAACAGGAGTCGACACCCAAAAAGTCAGACAGAGGCATAACTTTGTGACCATTCTTGGCTCGATCGTTCTCCGCAGCCAGCACGCACCGTAATATCTAGTTTCATTGATAAAATACGTTTCGTTTACAAGAAATTGCCTTCTTGACAATTTGGCAGAGTTTTTCTGACTAGCTGGGGTCTTACACGATGTCTCCTGTCCCTCGTGAACATAACCGGGAAGACCGCTGCACACAATCACGTATATTATTTTTTCTAGAAAAATAAGAGGACACCCGTTTCTAGCTTGCCTTGGGCATGTTACATGTGCCCACGATACATCTTTCTGAAAGTCACTTAAAGGCTTCTGGAGTAAGAGCTAAAAAAATTATTTAGTAAAATTATTTGCCCCATTGGAGCGAGCGGTACAAAATTAACTGGGTACTTTTATCTAGGAGAGTAACGATGTTCGAGGCAAACAGAAAGGTACAGGTGCTGGCAGGGGCAATTTTCCTTTGCTAGATGCCGATGATTTTTTTTTGTTTTTCACTAATGCTAGCACTCGTTGTATCTAAATGTAATAATTTTTTTTTTTGCTGTTTTCAAAGTAGTCTTATTTGTGCAAAGGATGGCGCATGAAATCCTGTTTGCTTGAAAAAAAACACGCCATGGGGCAGCGTTTTGAGTATGGGGCTGATTATTAGTACAGAATGGAGTGTCTGGGGTTAGCGCTCGGGCAGGCGGCGATCAACCGACATAATAATCATGACCTAATTTGGAAATAGTCGTTCTTTCTAAGATTATCTCGCGTTGGATAGCGATGTTATTGTTTTATAGTGCCACAGAGTATGGTGAGTAAATGAAGAAAGGGCAATGTTTGAATGTGTCGGTGTTACATGAAGTTCTTGTACACATACTCAGCAGTCTCACAATTGTCCCATAAAATTGACTTCGGGATATTTACTCACTATGTTATTTAAAAATGGAATGGCATAAATTAAGCATTTCTCATTTATCGTTTATTGGAGCCTGCCTCTGATGAAGTCAGCTTGCACAGAATATATTAAGCACTTTTTTCCGTACAAAAAAAATCGCACTTCTCGAAAATCTCCACTTTCCACGCATTTTTTCCGCAACAGGTTTAAAATCTTCATAAACATTTTTACGGAATACAATCAGATGCAAGAATCAGCCAGTGCCGTAAACATTCGATCTGACCGCATCTCACGGTGTGAGCACTTGGCATCACGTGTTCAACTTATCTGAGGCTATTTCACCTGTTTTTATTTTTATCTCGAGTCAGCTCGCGTGGTATTCTCATGGGGCTCATCTCGTAGCGCAGAGTAAATAACAGGAGTAGCCTAACTTAATGATTGAAGCCCTCCGCATTCACTCGACTTTAGCGCGCGCCAACCTGAGCGACTCAACATGAACGTTCGACACTTCAGACCCATGCTGACTGCATGCGTCGTGCGACTGATTAGAATAAAAAGCTACTCTTTTCGTTTGCTACCTGATTACGCCACGCCACGGCACAAGTAGGTGCTACTGCTACCTAGCCATCGACCTAAAGGCTAGTAGAACGTTGTTCTTTTGAACTGACTTCATGCGGTATAACAAAGGGTGCAAACGAGCTAGACTAATTTGGGAACGAAAACAAAAGGCAAACAAGAACGCGTCGTATCGAATTCCGTTGTTCAAAACAAAATATCAGATCTATTTAACAGCGGACGGTAACCTTATCTAGAACTGGAGGAGCGTACTTGACGACCAAAACATTGAATTTTACACACACACAGGCAGACTTAGACCACGTACACAGAATACGCATGGACAGACAGGCATCAGTAATCGAAGCTCGCCATTCCCAGGATAGAACCAGAACTGTAGAAAATACTCGTCCTGACACCGTACTCTGTCGCCGGCTAACAAAGTAGTTGAACTCAAGTATCGTTTTTGTTTCGGCGCGGGCATTCTTCGATATTTTTCAAATAAACCGATATGGATAACGGTAATCAGCGTTCATTCGTGTATAAATGAGGTCAATAAGACAAGCCCTTTGTGTGTAAACTAGTACAATTACTTGTATCAAAAATACGTGATATTTTTAGTTTAAATGAACATCGCTGTGGTATATCTGTGGCGGAAAGCTATCAGCCAGCTGTTGTTTGTTTACGTCCTGATAGGCTCAAGACAAGGCAAACGGTTTAGGGAGCCGCATAGTGCAGGAGGATGTATATATCAAGTAGCATAGAAAGTTTTTGACCCTTTGTGTTGTAGTCTTTTTGTGCACGCTATCTTACTTTCGGCTACGCATTTATTTTGGATAATTATAATTGGTGTTAAGTTGGTAACTTTGCCGTTAGCTGGAATCTTCCTTATTGGTGCACCTGGGTTTTAGGAGCTGGCCGATATTGACTTAACGGACCCGGAACTCGAGAAGGCAGCTATGAAAATTCAATCAACTTTTAAGGGCTTCAAGACGCGACGCGCACCCGCGACCAAATAGAACGTATCGTCAATTACAATAGAGGTATTATTACTAGTCTAAGTACTGTTAATAGCAAAAATGCTAACATCACTAAAAGACAGGGCAATTACATCGATTTTACACAGACAATTATTTCCAAATTGCTATCGTATGTAAAAGCAAAACAGCGATATAGGACAACTATAAAGACAGAATACTGAAAATGTCTAAATTACGGGAGAAAAAACGATCAGGAAACGAAGGCGGAAAAGTCTGTCACTTGTCCACTCAGCTTTGCGAGGTATTACCTTTACTAGTGTCTTTTTATCTCTATTGTGACATATTCTGTCACTTCCGAATTTCATCCTCCGACTATTAACCCTCTTACGATGCACTTATTTTCTTTTACTTATGTCTGTTACCGAACAATACCCCACAAAAGCTTTGCTAACTCCTTAGATTCTTCGCAATTGTACGACCAGTATAATTGAATAAGAAAACAATAAATATTTTTCAAATTTCACGGAAAACTTACGGATACAATAGCATACAAGTCAAATTTTGCAAAGAGATAGACGCCTCTATCTCGGACCTCGGAAGGTCATCTAAACCGTGTTACCTTCTTTACAGAGGCCTAGTGAAAAGGCCACAACAAAAATGAATCGGTTGACTTCATTGCCGAAAAAGCAAAAGTTAGCATGTTCGTGTCGTAGGCATTTGCTGAAGTAGTGCATGGAGAAAGCTGCATAGGACGACGTAGCTGTAACGTCACGTTTTGAATATTTCCGGAATAGTGTATATAAATAGTAGTACGCCATTTCTTGCATATGAACAGTCTTCGCCTAATCGTGTCCTGCGTTAATCGTTAATTTGCTGTTTAAAAAGGTACAATTCTACATATCTTCCTGTTAGGAAGGAAGCATAACTGTTAATTTAATCATACCGACAAGAAAAAGGTTCAGTGGCTTGACATAATGTATCCGCCTTCAGTATCATAGCAATATCATACAATAATAAAAATACATAATTTCCCGTATAATCGATCAACAGGCCACAACAAACAACAGGCCACCATAATAACGATTATAACTCACTTCCGTAGGGACACTTGCGTTGTATCTGTCGCTCTAAACGTTCGGTGTCCTCTATATGAAATTCAACGATTTTGGGGGTGGACGCGCAAAAGAGACGGTAGTAGATTGGAATTGGAAGGAGGTCGCATTTATACGCAGGCGCCATGGGAGAAATCGAATGTGGAGCGGAAAAAATGGGCAGAATAAAGAGAAGAACGCTTAGCAGTAATTACGATTTGTAGGGACCGTCCCGTTAGAGCATATCCGCTTAGCATATTACATGTCAAGGAAATAAATGTATGCTATTCCGGGTACTAGAATTACGAAAGCCACAAGCGTCAACTGTGTAAGTTGTTGAAAACGTTAAGTGGAAAGAAAATCGCTTCAAGGCACGGCAGGTTTCATAACGTCGGCGGGAGGTTTATTAATGGCGAAAAAAACGTTTCGCTTTTATTGCTATAGCATGAATGCCACTTACCATTAATTTATTTAAGCCAGTATTACCAAACAACAGTATGGTAATACTGGCTTAAATCTAATCGATTATAAGACAATCTAAAACGATAAAAGGTACCTCGGGGCATGTAATACATAGTACGCGCAACTTATCTTGAAGGGTGCGGGCGCTACAGGTACTCATACTTGTCATATGTGCTTGCATTTGATACACGGGTACAACGTATTGTAGGTAATAGAATACGCGATTACAAGGACAGAGGTAAATTAAAGACGAAAAGAATTTGGTACACAGGAAGACGGAAGCTCAGCGTTAGGTACTTCAAAGAAAATAAATTATCGACAGTTAACTTACCTACGACAATACGACTTACTAGGACAATATCAGCCTACCGTATGACCATGTTGCGTGCCGAACAGCAAACGAAAGTTATATTGCTAAAATAATAATATTAAAAGCTGGAGAAGTAGGCATATAACATAACAGATGTTTTCCACTTGATCTCTCAGCTTTTCTAGCGTATGGCTGCTGCTAAATAGCAGGGACGTATTTGTTTAGACGAAGTAAAAAAAAAAGCAATCAATATTGAACATATCGGTTTGTGCTGAGGCCGTTTACGGTACTCAACTTTCTATTCTAATTAGTAGAATTAATAATATTAAGTTCTCTTAAATCATTGAACTAAGATGTCTATTGGAAATGGTAAATGTAGACAGACGTATTCGTCCCTCAATAAAGCGTAGCTTTCAACCGAAACACTATACACGAAGTAATAGTTAGGGAAAAATGTTCCATGCCTGGATGATTTCATCATAATTAAAAACATTCGTTTTTTTTCCAGTCGTTGGAGCATAAAAGTTCTCGCTTGCAAGTCAGTCTACGCCCATTCAAATTTGTGCTTTTCTTCTACTTAGTGGTAAATAGCAACGCTTTTGTAAAAAGTACTACCACACAGAAGTCAGTCTCTGTAAAAGATAGGTACTACATTTCTTGAAACATTCTCGTAGAAAAATAGATAAAAAGGAAAAGCTAACTTTTCCAAACATTATTATAATACAACGAAATTCTTTCATTGTGTTTAATAATATATAGTAGATACAGTTAACCGAAGAAATGACGTTAATTTATAAGAGTAAAGGTAAACCTCTCAGTGTAGAACGTTGCCGAGATAACGAAGTATATAAAAAAGTCTTTTGACAGGCAATCCGATTTTTGCTTGCATATGTGGCCTACTTCAAAAGTGCGGTTGTAGAAATAACGATAATAAAAAAAAAACCACATATAAAAAACTAACAAACCAGTACGTTTTCCACGAGATCACCGTGCTAATCTTAGAAGTCTCGGCAACGATTGCATACTGTAATGCATGAGTTAATAGGGTATTATAACCGTATGTTACGATTTTAGTTGCGCTATAGTATTAAAGCAATTTGTTGTAGTGTCCGCAAAAGTTGGCCAATACAAGAATAATTATAATAATAATATACAGAGGTATAAAACGTTACAATAAAGACGTTTACAGAAAAGGACAACGACTTATCTTTTCGTGTGCAGTTTGATTTTTCAGCATTCAGAGTATCTGAGAGCAGAGAAGTTGCATCCGCTGATATAGTAGGTATAGCTTTGCGTATAAAATGTGCAAGATAATCGGCACTGTTCAAGGTTAATTTTCATAAAATATTCGAATCAAAAATCGGACGCAGCCGATAAGCTTCATGTCCTAGAGGATCAGCAACAACCGAAACCTTTTCCTTAAGAAGAAGAACGAAAACACAGCGAAAATCGGAAAGTATGAAACGACCGTAGGCGAATCCCCTTTCAACCGTTTGGCGGCCTATCAAGTATTTCCTCTTGAAACCGATTAGATGTTTAAGATACACAGCTGTAAATATATCACCTGGGCCGTAAAACGATGAAAAACATGCTCGGCTTTTGCGGGCCAAGAAATCGTACTAACACAAAGTATATAGCCCTGAGTATCCTTCTAATTAGTAGTTTAGTTAGCGTCAAAAATGCGGTCATGTGTTCATGAGCACGATCCGATTACGCGGAAACGTCGTGTTCTTTTAAATTTTTCCCGATTAAAAAAAATTGATAAATAAGCTAATGCAAAGTGTACGCGTCTGACCCGTTGAAAATGATCCACTGTCCGGCTTCTACTTGACAGCATTATGAAATAAAGGAACAACTCGAAAGGATGCGCCGCAAGAGAATAACGGAAGGACAAACTTGAGACGAGCCGATGTCCTATAGTCGGCTTCCATGGAAAAGAAGTGCACAAGAGCCCGCCCGAGAGTTGCTATACCCGGAGAGAAGGGGAGCCCCAACGAAGGACGAGTCGGAACGTGACAAAGAGAATAATAGCCCAACGCCCGTTCCTAGTTTTGAAGTAATAATAAAGTATATCCCGAACCAAAACCCAAGCCTTCGAGGGGTCCCACAGTGTCAGACAAACAACGAAGTTGTGAAAACTGGTTTGCATAATAATGCATTACCCCTCAACCTCTAATAGAAAAAAAAAGCTTCTACTTGACAGCGGTGAGAGTGATGAATATTGTCTGTGTGATAGAGATAGTGTCAGTCATGTTAAAGATTTTATATATATATATATATATGTATGTATATACTCATTTTAACTCCAGTAGATCAAGCGCGTGTAAGTTGCGACCTAGCAACATATAAAAATAGAGATGATTTAAATATCGAGCAACATATGGTCCAAAAGCTGCTTACGAACAAAGCAAATATTATCTCTAAATATTTATATTCACTTGTCTTTTATTGGTTGATATATAATAGATAGTGTGTGTTACACAGAAATCAGCGAATCAAGCAATTTACAGTGTTGCCTTATTACAAACCGCGGCGAAATTTAAATCAATAAAGCATACCCAGGTACTAATACGAATGTAGGGGACTAACCGTCTGTAGGGCAACGTTTATTTGCTATCCGTACTCTAAAGCTCTACCTAATAGATGTAGTCGAATCACTGTGAATTTTTGCGTGGGCATTTTGGGCACAAACTGATTATCGACAAAATATACTTTTATCGTTAAGTAATCCTTAATATCGTGACGGCTATTGAAGTTAAAAAAAAAACATTTGGTAAATTATAAATTTTTACGCCTTGGGGGTATTCTGCTAGCCCTTAAGCTTACGCTACCTAATTACACATGCTGGATGTTGTATGTTAGTGGATTATCTCTCTGTCGTCTAAAGTAATAGTCCTATATATGTGGGCTCTCGCAAAGCACCCCACGCCCGAGCCTGTTTTGTGTCAGAATCTAATTTGGAAAAAGACGTTTTAAACCGCTTGTATAATAATCATTTGGCCTTATGATTAGAATCAATCTCAACCCATGAATGTTCGATTTTTGCTAGTTACCAACTTTTACTATCATTACCATTGGAATAGTGAATTGAAATTTCCCAGATTGAGCATTCTTCTTTGAGCTAAAAAGGTTGATAGTTTATGCAATGAACGTTCTTGGGTCAGAGAAGCCTTGTTAGCGACACACACACGACACGGCAAGTGTGATTAAATAGAAAAAAGAAAATATATATTTCTACTGATCATACTGTAAACTTGTAACGATTACAACTCGATAATATCATATACTAAGGACAGAAGTCGTATTCAGTCAGAATATCAGATCCCGAGTCGGCTTTTGCACTGTTCAGGACCGAATCAGGCTCACATGTGTGTTTTTTCACACCATAGAATAGAGCAAGGCTATAGCTGGATAGACAATGTTTTAAAATAAAATAATAATAATGAAGAATGATCTATCTCCATGGTGCAAATGTATTTTGTCCATTGTTTATTTACTTCATCTAGAAGCAGGCAGTATTCAGTAAGTTTGAGCTATCATAAACAATACTCTTTGCTTAGTAGAATCGGAACTCATTTTTAACTTTAGACAATCAAATATTTACGTTTACAGTAGAATTTACTACAGATAGCTCTTTGCTAAACCTCACCAAGTTCATCCATATATCTATAGAGTACACTAAAAAACTAAAAGTTATACTAGCACTTCGAGTCGTTCAAGGTTCTCCTCAACTTGTTCGCTGCTCTATTAATTAACACCAACGACTCGGCGACTCCATAATGACCCGCATCTGACAGCGCTTTGAGAATAATTTTTCAGGCTTTTCTCAAACTCTTTCGAACAGGTACTTAGCTACAAAATTGTTTCCGATATATTACACTCTCTTATCTCCTTAGACAGTCGTCTGAGTTAAAAAAAGGAATTATTTTCAAAAGCGTCCAATCGTATTTGTACGAATCCGTACTGTGAATCCGTATAGGAGCAAGTTTAGAATCCACCAGCTGCGAAACAACTGAATAAAGCTATTATTTAGTATCCGATTGAAAACTCTTAATTGGGAGAGACCTTGCTTTCTGCAGCCACCTGAAAATGCCCAATTTGTGCTAATGTATAGGCACACACTGTATCAAGTATTGCCATTGTTAAGGTCAAACAGACATTCTGCGTCGGAGCCCTTTCAAAAAAGCTGAAGAGAAATTTCAGCCATATTTAAGAATATCGGTGTTCGCCGACTCAGATTCCAGATATCGTTGATAGCGCTATAAAGCTTAGACCGTTTAAATAGAAGATAAGCAAATGAGAAAGGGTTGTTACAGATAAAAACATTTTACTGAAAAATCTATTTGTATTTAGGTAATACAGGCTTTTAAATAAGTAACATACCAAAAATTAATACGTCACTTTGTGGGACCAGCAGAGTGCGTCTATTGTGCCTTTACATAGTAGCTTACGTTAGATTTCTATATCTCACAATAGTTTTCTATCCGCAGGCAATAAACGAGCGGACATTTAAGTATCTGATATATGAAAAAAACTTTATTGTTATTATAATTCAAAAATTGTTCTTGATTCAACGTATGATTATGTCAACGATGTTTTTGCTGTGTTAAGAACTTGACCTTGTGACAATACAAAGTTAATGCTACCGATCTTTACCCTTCAAACATACGCCTACTATACAACCTAAAAACGCTTTTTTTTTTCAGTGCAACTTTAGTTAGGTAGGTAACCCATTCGCACTGGACGGAAGTTTCGTAATATTTTTTTTGCAAAATATTATATAATATTTTATAGAACATAGCACGCCGTTCTGATAATCTCGAACTATTGTCTGTAATACGACGAACAAATCAGTAACACATACATAGAAATGTATTGCCGAAGTCAAGCCTGTCCAAGACGCTTGTCCCGTGAATTGCACGGTATAAATAACAATTTTTATTAATCAAGCGCCGTATCACGGTTGCTAGAACGAAAATGTCGGCAAATTTTTAGGCTTCGCTTTGTATTTCCGTGACTGTGACAAACTAATGGATACGTAACCACGTCCAACCAAATTACCGTTGCAGCGATTGCTGTTCAGCGATCTGCACAATAGTCCAACAGCTTTTAAATGTCTTCAAACGTACGATATCTCAAACACATGCCAGAACCCCAAGGCAAGTTCTCTCAGTGTCGATAGCCGAAAGCAGAATATTCATGGTGATCAAGACCCTCTCTTAAAAGTTCGTCAGGCAAATTCGGTTGGCTTGAGAGACGGAGCAACGATTCAGTCCGTAGACCTTCATTGCACTGCGCTGTGACGTTCATCCATCTATTGCGGGTTTCGTTGCTCACGGTCGGTGTCATCAACAGAACCTGAGTGAAAAAGATGCAATCCTTAACGTGATATCTTTAGATCTCTACTCGGGCTTTATTTGGAGTAAGCATTGAAAAATGTGGTGCACTGGCCATAGTTCGACCATTTACTCGTGTAAAAAGTTTGTGAACATAGCGCTGCTTTTCTTCGTACAGCATTATATCGAAAAGAGATTTTATGTAAGGATAAGCAAAGCTGCATCGTTTTCAAGAAGGACGTTTACCTCCGCGTAGAGCCTAGATACGCCCGCTTGTCTCTGTGGCGATAGATACTCCACGATACAATAACTGTTGCACCTTTAGCATAGCCATCGTATCGGTAAAACTTTACATAGTAAGTACAGAAGATCGAAATACTGCTGAAAATTAGGACCTCGATTAATGCGAGCCTTTCAGTACGTGTCTGTAGCACGCATAAGTCCTCGCCTTAACGAAGGCATTCTATATTGTAAATAGGTGCCAGTCCCCTACGCTATAGTCTAAAGCAAAACATAGGAGCGAACACGTTTAGCCAAAGCGATACCACGTGGAAAATTTAATAGAAAAGGCTCAAACAACCAGCAATCTGCTGAACTCTTCTATCGAAATACATTGCCTGGCTGCATTTGATTTCCGCGAAATTCCATAAAATTGATAGTCAAACCACGAAAATTATGACAGTAATAATAGTCGAAATAGACTAAATCTATTAGTAAAGCAATCAGACCGAGGTAGTATCAAATTTGACCCCCGATAATAAGCATCATCTAAAAGTCGCAAGCCTTCCAGCAAAACCATTGAGGACTACAAATCCGAGGTCGTATACAGCAGTACAACGAAGAGGTCTCTATGTTCGTAC